GGGCAGTGCCCGAGGGCCCGGGGTCAGTAGGGGGCCCCATGAGATGTCCCTGGTACCTTTTCCATAGGCTTTTTTGAGTTTGGACAAGGACACAAGGGCCCCATGATTCCCTATTGCCCGGGGGCCCCATGTGTTGTCAGTCCGCCCCTGTGCGCAGTCATGTTGGATCAGAAAGGGGCCATCCTCAAACTGTTCCCACAAAGTTGGAAGCATGAAATTGTCCAAAATGTCTTGGTATGTTGACGCCTTAAGGGTTCCCTTCAGTGGAACTAAGGGGCCAAGCCCAACCCCTGAAAAACAACCCCACACCATAATCCCCCTCCACCAAACTTTACACTTAGAACAATGCAGTCAAGCAAGTACCGTTCTCCTGGCAACCGCCAAACCCAGACATTTCAAACTGTCTCCGTGCTATGCACTGACTTTCTGCAAAACTCAGAATTCTTAGTCCTATATCTTTTTGTCTGTTTGTGGTGATCGCTTCTCACCTCCTTTGCCTTTCTGTGATCAGAGAATCAACTCAATCTCAATCCCCATGCTCCTAAAAACCACCCTCCCTTTTTCATGTGCGCTCTGGAATGCCCTCTCTGTCTGTAACAAGCTCACCTCTGTCCATGACCTGTTTGTCTCCCACTCCCTTAATCTACTAGCAATTACAGAAACCTGGCTTCAAGCATCAGATTCTGCGTCTCCCGCAGCACTTTCCTATAGAGGCCTTCTCTGGACCCACTCACCCAGACCCAGTGGTCGGAATGGAGGTGGAGTTGGTTTGCTTCTATCCCCACTGAGAACCTTTCAAGTCCTCCCTAACACTCCCTCTCTATCCTTCTCTTCTTTCGAGACTCCTTGCATTCGGCTGTTTTCTCCCATTTCTCAGAGGATTGCAGTGATCTATTGGCCTCCTGGACCGGTGTCCCACTTTCTTGATGACTTCTCTGCTTGGCTACCTTACTTTCTCTTCTCTGAAACACTCACTGTCATTCTTGGAGATTTTAACATCCCCATTAATGTGAACAACCCGGCTACATCCCAACTCTTCAACCTAACCTCATCTTTTGCCTTAACACAATGAACACAGTCCCCCACTCACTCTGATGGGAATACATTAGACCTTGTTTTTTCCCATCTTTGCACTCCCTACAACCTCACAAACATCCCCCTCTGATCACAATCTCATCACCTTCACAGTGTCCTCTCCTTCTAATACTTATCCCTTCAAGCAGCAATTACCCGCAGAAACCTTCACAACTTTAACCCTTCTCTTTTCCACTCTGCAACTGACCACCTCTATGACAGAATCTCTCCCCTGTCCTGCCCTGACCTGGCCACTTCTGTCTACAACAGTTCACTTTCATCCACAGTAGACTCACCTTCTCCTCTAACTACATGAAGTATCAGGCCCCGACCATTACAACTTTGGCAGACTGACAACACCAGAAATCTTAAGTGACATAGCCATGCACTGGAGCGATTGTGGCGTAAAACCAAATCTCAGCAAGCATTCACCGTATATAAATCTGCTTTCTTAACATACAATTCCTCCTTCCATGCTGCCAAACAAGCCTACTTTGTCACTTTTATTAATAACTTGTCATCCAGTCCTCGTCATCTCTTCAGTACTTTTAACTCTCTACTTTCTCCACCTCCACCTCCACCCAGTAAGTCACTCACTGCTTATTTGCAAATCATTTCAAAAACAAGATTGATGCCATTGATAGAGGCATCTCCACTACACAGACACCCATCCCACTTAGCATATCTTATACTAAACCTCCCTCAACACTTTCCTCTTTTGACCTTGCTACTACTGAAGAGGTCACCACAGTTTTTTCAGAAGCCCATCTCACCATGTGCCCCCTGGATCCTGTCCCCTCTCAACTACTACGGTCACCCTCTTCTTCCATCCTATGCTCCCTTACTCACATCTTCAATCTCTCCCTCTCTAATGGCACCTTCCCCACCCCTCTAAAGCATGCACACATCACTCTCATACATAAAAAGCCCTCGCTGGACCCCACCAACCTGAACAACTTAAGACTCATCTTCCTGCTCCCGTTTACCTCTAAACTCTTAGAATGCTTAGTCTACAATTGCCCGAGCTCCTACCTCACTGACAACAACCTTCTTGACTCTTTACAGTCTGGCTTTCACTCACTACACTTCACTGAAACTGCCCTACTAAAATTCACTAATGATTTACTAACTGCTAAAACCAATGGCCACTACTCCGTACTCTTACTTCTTGACCTCTCTGCGACTTTTGATACTGTTGACCATCCCCTTCTCAAAAAAAAAACCCTCCACTCTCTTGTACTCCAAGACTCTGCTCTCTCCTGGTTCTACCTATCACAGCGCTCCTTCAGCGTTACCAATAACTCTGTCTCCTCCTCTACACTCCCTCTTTCTGTAGGGGGCCCTCAAAGTTCTGTCCTTGGACCCCTTCTCTTCTCCAGCTACACCTCCTCCCTTGGTCACTTGATAAACTCCCACGGCTTTAAGTACCATCTCTATGCTAAGAACACACAAATCTATCTTTCTACTCCTCACTCCACCCCTTCAGTCTCCTCTCGCATTACTAACCTACTAAGTGACATATCGGCATGGATGTCACTCCACTTCCTCAAACTAAATCTTTCCAAAACGGAGCTCATACTATTCCCTCCAGCCCGTGCCCCTCCCCTGACTTCTGCATTAAGATCAATAACACAAACCATCAGTCCCTCCCCTCATGCTAGGGTACTAGGTGTAATCCTAGACTCCCATCTGTCCTTTCAGTCCCAAATCCAATCACTGTCCAAATCTTGTAGACTTCACCTCCACAACATCTCCAAGATATGCCCGTTCTTAACCGCCGAAACCACTAAGCAACATATTCACTCCTTTGTTATCTCTCGCCTTGACTATTGTAACTCCTCATTGGCCTACCTAATCGCAGGCTATCCCCTTTTCAATCTATCAGGAATGCTGCTGCCCAGACTCTTCCACCTTACTAACGGATCTATATCTGCCATCCCTCTCTACCAATCCCTCCACTGGCTTCCCATTGCCCAAAAGATAAAATTCAAAACATTAACAATAACGTATAAAGCCATTTATAACTCTGCCCCAAATTACATCACCGATCTTGTCTCCAAATATCACCCAAACCGTCCTCTCCACTCCTCCCACGACCCCCTGCTCTCTAGATCCCTTGTCTCCTTCTCCCATGCTCATCTCCAGGACTTCTACTTGAGCTCCGGAGAGCGACCCATTCTTTCACAAATGTTTGTAGAAGCAGTCTGCATGCCTAGGTGATGATTTTATACACCTGTGGCCATGGAGGTGATCAGAACACCTGAATCCAATGATTTGGAGGGCTCGCCCAATACTTTTGGCAATATAGTGTACATCTATAAGAATAAAGTGCGGATATAAAATATCACTTACCTTATATGACAGGATTAACATGTGGATTTTCTTATGTGAGAGTTGGACTGAATTTTTATTTGTCACTGAATGTTTGTATGCAACATAATAGGGTCTATTTTAAAAAAAATTGCTGTGTGAATTGCTCAGCATTGATACATGGTTACAAATAATCCCCAAAACATGTTTAATTCCAAAGATCATGTCAGGAATGGACTGGCCAGCAATGGTGGGACTCACCTGCCTTTTGATCTGCAGTACCAGGGCTGGCCAGCGGATGCTCCCAGCAATCAGAGACTCAACTTTGCAGCCAGCTAACACCTGGAACTGATTATGCTGGGGTATTTAAGGGATGGCCAGACCCACAGACTCTGCCTTGGTGTTGTGTTTGTCCTGGGCCCTGTATCCTGTTTCTGTCCTGCATCCTGTTTCTGAACCGCTGCTGACTTCTCCTGCTCTGATCCCGGCTCGCTCCTGACCATCCCTCTGCCTGACCCTCTGTACCACGCTGCTTGCTACCTGTTCTGATCCCTGGCTTGTGACCCTGACCATCCCTCTGCCTGACCCTCTGTACTACGCTGCTTGCTACCTGCTGAACCTGGCCTGTGACCCCGACCAATCTCCGCTTGCTCCCCCTGTACCTACCTGCCCTATTGATATTGACCCGGCCTGCCTGACGACGCTTGCTTGTATGTACTGTTATCTGTGGGTGGTTGGTTTGGTTTGGTTTGGTTTGGTTGCACTGTATTATGTTTTAGTATTGCACTGCGTTTATGTTTGTATTGTTAGTGTTAATAAATTATATTGTTTATAACATATCTGAGGTCTGCGTTTCCCTGCGTCAGTCACACACCTCTGGTCACACCTGGGAGCCCTGACATTACACCAAGGCCATTCCTGACCAGAAGTGGCTGCACAGGGAAGCCATCTTGGCTTGTTGCTGGGAAGGATGGATCTGGATGAGGTTGAGTATTTATCTCTGCTAGTGCTTGATGACAGAAAATATGCTTATCAGACTCTGAAGGAGTATCCCCGGATGAACTGCTAGAATGTATACGGCTCGCTCATGTTCTAGTAGATCAGGGCACAGATTTCTCTATGGTGCAGCCATTGATTAAGGTTTGTGTTGAGTTGGTTTCATCTGGTTTCCCCCGAATGCAGGGATGAATTTTTGCCACCATTTAGTGCAGACCAGGTAGAGTCCCTGGTGTGGTTATTAGAGGATGATGTGGGTTACTTTCTGGAGCGTTATTCCACATGTTCACCACAGATACTAAGAGATTGTATAAACGCAGTGCAGTCATTGACCAGACAGGCTTTGTGTAAGCTCAGCTTTGTTCAACCCATACTGCAGACATGGACAGACTTGTTGCACCCAGCCTCAGTCAGCTTACAAAAACCCAGTCCTGCTTCTAACTCTACTCCTGTATTCCCACCAGCTCCTCCAGTTACAGCCCAGTATACTTGGCTATCTACCGCATGTCAGTACCCTGTTCCCACTCGCTGCACCTATCCTGCCTTTAACCCTGTAAAAAAGCCCTCTGTAGCAACTGCTCCCTCTCCTGTTCCATCCTCCAGTTTTTCTCTGTCTCCAGCTGCTCCATTCGTTTGCAGACCTGCGTTTACTTGCAGTCCTCCAGTAGTTAAAACCAGAAAAAAGCGAAAATTCTTTCCAACCAATACCTTCCTGCCAGTATCCAAACCGGTGAACCTGCCTTCCGTGACTCAGCCTGAAGCCTCTACTCAGCCTGAAGCCTCTACTCAGCCTGAAGCCTCTACTCAGCCTGAAGCCTCTACTCAGCCTGATGCCTGCATTCAGCCTGATGCCGCTACTCAGCATGATGAACTGATCCAGCCCGACGATCCTATTAGGCCAGTTGACTCGAGGCCCGCTGTTGATCCAGATGATCCGGTACCTGATCCAGTGCCCGCTGGCGTGCCAATTGACTCAGAGCCCGCTGTCATACCTGGTGACCCGGTGCCCACTGCCTTGCCAGATGACGCGGTGCCCGCTGGCAAGCCAAATGACCTGATGCCTGGTGACCCAGTGCCCGCTGTCATACCTGGTGACCCGATGCCCGCTGTCGAGCCAGACAATCCGATACCTGATGACCCGGTGTCCACTGTCGTGCCTGTTGACTCGGAGCCCACTGTCTTGCCAGACGACTCGGTGCCCGCTGTTCCGCCAGTTGACTCGGTGCCCGCAGTCTTGCCAGACGACTCGGTGCCCGCAGTCTTGCCAGACGACTCGGTGCCCGCAGTCTTGCCAGACGACTCGGTGCCCGCAGTCTTGCCAGACGACTCGGTGCCCGCAGTCTTGCCAGACGACTTGGTGCCTGCAGTCTTGCCAGACGACTCGGTGCCCGCAGTTCCACCAGTTGACTCGGTGCCCGCAGTCTTGCCAGACGACTCGGTGCCCGCCGCTTCGCCTGGGGGCCCGAGACCTGTTGCTCCGCCTGAGGGCCCGAGACCTGTAGTTCCGCCTGGGGGTCCGGCGCCCGCCGCTCCGCCTGGGGGCCCGAGGCCTGTCGCCCCGCCTGGGGGCCCGAGGCCTGTCGCCCCGCCTGGAGGCCCGAGGCCTGTCGCCCCGCCTGGGGGTCCGGCGCCCGCCCCCCGCCTGGGGGCCCGAGGCCTGTCGCCCCGCCTGGGGGTCCGGCGCCCGCCGCTCCGCCTGAGGGCCCGAGACCTGTCGCTCCATCTGGGGGTCCGGCGCCCGCCGCTCCGCCTGAGGGCCCGAGACCTGTCGCTCCATCTGGGGGTCCGGCGCCCGCCGCTCTGCCTGAGGGCCCGAGACCTGTGCTCCATCTGGGGGTCCGGCGCCCTCCTCTCCGCCTGAGGGCCCGAGACCTGTCGCTCCATCTGGGGGTCCGGCGCCCGCCGCTCCGCCTGAGGGCCCGAGACCTGACGCTCCATCTGGGGGTCCGGCGCCCGCCGCTCCGCCTGAGGGCCCGAGACCTGTCACTCCATCTGGGCGTCCGGCGCCCGCCGCTCCGCCTGAGGGCCCGAGACCTGTAGTTCCGCCTGGGGGCCCGAGGCCTGTCGCCCCGCCCGGGGGCCCGAGGCCTGTCGCCCCGCCCGGGGGCCCGGTGCCTGTCACCCCGCCCGGGGGCCCGGTGCCTGTCGCCCCCGCCCGGGGGCCCGGTGCCTGCCGCTCCGCCTGGTGGCCCGCTGCCTGCTGCTTCTCCTGGTAGCCCGATGTGCCTCTGCCCGGAGTCCTGCCCGATGTGCCTCTGCCCGGAGTCCTGCCCGATGTGCCTCTGCCCGGAGTCCTGCCCGATGTGCCTCTGCCCGGAGTCCCCGGAGTCCCCGATGTGCCTCTGCCCGGAGTCCAGCCCGATGTGCCTCTGCCCGGAGTCCAGCCCGATGTGCCTCTGCCCGGTGTGCCTCTGCCCGGAGTCCAGCCCGGTGTGCCTCTGCCCGGAGTCCAGCCCGATGTGCCTCTGCCCGGAGTCCAGCCCGATGTGCCTCTGCCCGGAGTCCAGCCCGATGTGCCTCTGCCCGGAGTCCAGCCCGATGTGCCTCTGCCCGGAGTCCAGCCCGATGTGCCTCTGCCCGGAGTCCAGCCCGATGTGCCTCTGCCCGGAGTCCAGCCCGATGCCTCTGCCCGGAGTCCAGCCCGGTGTGCCTCTGCCCGGAGTCCAGCCCGATGTGCCTCTGCCCGGAGTCCAGCCCGATGTGCCTCTGCCCGGAGTCCAGCCCGATGTGCCTCTGCCCGGAGTCCAGCCCGATGTACCGCTGCCCGGTGTACCGCTGCCCGGAGTCCTGCCCGGTGTGCCAGTCTTTGATATCCCGCCAGTTACCAGACCCGGGCGGTGGAAACATTTTTCCCAGCTAGGACTGTTTGGAGCGTCCTGAGGCCGCTCCTTGAAGGGGGGGTACTGTCAGGAATGGACTGGCCAGCAATGGTGGGACTCACCTGCCTTTTGATCTGCAGTACCAGGGCTGGCCAGCGGATGCTCCCAGCAATCAGAGACTCAACTTTGCAGCCAGCTAACACCTGGAACTGATTATGCTGGGGTATTTAAGGGATGGCCAGACCCACAGACTCTGCCTTGGTGTTGTGTTTGTCCTGGGCCCTGTATCCTGTTTCTGTCCTGCATCCTGTTTCTGAACCGCTGCTGACTTCTCCTGCTCTGATCCCGGCTCACTCCTGACCATCCCTCTGCCTGACCCTCTGTACCACGCTGCTTGCTACCTGTTCTGATCCCTGGCTTGTGACCCTGACCATCCCTCTGCCTGACCCTCTGTACTACGCTGCTTGCTACCTGCTGAACCTGGCCTGTGACCCCGACCAATCTCCGCTTGCTCCCCCTGTACCTACCTGCCCTATTGATATTGACCGGCCTGCCTGACGACGCTTGCTTGTATGTACTGTTATCTGTGGGTGGTTGGTTTGGTTTGGTTTGGTTTGGTTGCACTGTATTATGTTTTAGTATTGCACTGCGTTTATGTTTGTATTGTTAGTGTTAATAAATTATATTGTTTATAACATATCTGAGGTCTGCGTTTCCCTGCGTCAGTCACACACCTCTGGTCACACCTGGGAGCCCTGACAGATCATCAGCTACATCTAGTGGCCATAATGTGTTATTTTCCTGAAATACCTTAATCAGGAAAATACTGCATTATGGCCCATAGATGGAGCTGACAACCATAGGAAATACTCACATTAGACACATTACTTGGATTATATGCAACATCTGTGCAAAATCTGAGATATCTGTACTGCTAATTTTTTTATAAAGGTGATGGTACCCATATTAGTACAATAGCAACAACATAGTTGAGTACTGTCTATGACAGGGCCACCAGTTGCCCCACCCAACCCTTACCTTGCCCTGCCCCTAAACGCGCCCTCATAAATTATCTCATGAAATGACACTGTTAAATGTTTTATGCAGATCAACCCCCAGGTCAGTCTTTCCCCAGTAAGACCCACCCCCAGATCAGTCTGTCTTCAGTAAAATCCCCCCCAGGTCAGTCTTTTCCCAGTAAATTCCCCCCTCAGGTCAGTCTGTCCCCAGTAAAATCCCCACACAGAAGGGTCAGCGAGACAGGAAGGGGGCAGTGTCACAGGAGGGGGGCAGCAGGATAGGTGGGGGCAGCATCATAGGAGGGAGGCAACGGGATAGGTTGAGGGTAGCAGCAGGATAAGTGGGGGGCAGCGAGACAGGTGGGAGCACTGTCACAGTAGGGGGTGCAGTGGGATAGTTGGGTGGTAGTGTCACAGGAGGGGGGCAGTTGGATAGGTGGGGGGAAATGTCACAGGAGGGGGACAGTAGGATAGGTGGGGGGGAAATATCACAGGAGGGGAGCAGTGTCACAGGAGGGGGGCAGTGGGATAGGTGGGGGGACAGCATCACAGGAGGGGGGCAGTGGGACACCTCTCACCTGTCCAATGACTCCTCCAGAAGGGATAGTTGAGCCATGGGTCCGCCTGGTTGTTGTGGTCAGTGTGTGTGTGTGTGTGGGGGGATCAGCACCGTGCTGGAGGTGGGGTTGTATTGATCTCACACAGGTAGCAGGACTTGGTGGCCCCAGTGACTCCGGTCCTCTGGTGGGGAGCGCCACCTCAGTTGAAGGTGGCATTGACGGGCCCTGGCATGTGGTTGGCCACCCTCCAAGCACTTGTCCAGTGGTGTGGATGGGGTGGTCAGAGCAGGAACCTGCTTCCTCTGTTCCATGGGCTCTCCAAGATGGGGGGGCTGTGTAGTGGGGAGTGGACCTGCGGTGTCCTCCGTGGGGCTGTGTGCAGGACTCTGCTCCGCCTGGACTCTGTGCACAGGGAGGGATTGGGGAGACTCCAGAGGTCCTGGAACACTGGGCTGGGCTCCACACTCATCCCCACGTTATTTCCACTTGCCAAATGTTAGCAGGCAAGTGGAAATTTTGAGGCCTGGTCTATGATACTTTTTTATTTGCACTAACATTTTTTTTTTTACAGGATTTCGGGGGGTCTACTCCCTTCTTCTAGGTCCAAGCATTACTCAAGCTTGTCCTAAAAATGTAACAGTTGCAAATAAAAGTATAATATTCAGAATTCAATTGTGTTAGCTTTGTGAGAATTTGGAATCGGTATTTTGATACAGTATATTGCATCATTTTTTATAGTATTTTTGGCACATTAGAGGTATCGTTGCTTAAACCTTGAAACTTGTCACTCAAAAGAGTATCAAAACTTCCTTCACAGAGTTGTGTGTTTTAGCCAGAATAAACTTCAGGGGGAGTGCCTTTAACATGCACAAAAAAACCCTAACACTTATTTTACGGCTCCAGCGAGAGTTCCCCCCCTCCGTCTCTCCACACCGTGATGACGTCACCCGGGACGTTGGATACACGTGGTCCCTGCACTGACAGGCATTCCACTCTCCACTGCTTCCCTCTGAGCGGACGGGCTGTCCATCTTGGAACCTGGCTTCTTAAAGCCACAGACTGGTTATCTATTTTTTTACCATATGAATTATTAAAGGCACACCTCCATATAAGGTGTATTACTTTTATCCCAAAACTACACAGCGCCTGGCTCCTGTTCATACCTTCCACGAACTGATGTGTTTTTACCATGGCAGCAGTGAGTTTTTTCCCCACTAATCACAGTTGACATACACCATTCACTTATTTCCTTTGGGACACATCTGTGCACTTTTATCCAGACTGTTCTTCTGAGAAAGTTGAGCAAGCCAAGTTCAAAGACATTGCTCTCAACTTTTCAAGGAAGCAGCAAAGAGGCATAGTGATGTCACCAGAGTGATATCACTAGACTTCGGTGGATGTCTGATCCTTGACTCTTAAAGTAAAACTAAAGGCAAAACTTTTTTGGGGGGATAGAATAAGTGAGGGACCCCTGTCAGAATATTTTTTTTGGAGGGCCATCTGTGTCAAAATAGGGGGATTTCCCCTCTTGCTCTGTCCCATAGCAAAACCTTCCAAAGCGAGGGACTCTGTAGTTGTCACCAGAACTGTCCCCATTGGAAGAATTCACCTCCGATCCTGTTCTGGGGACAATCTAAAATTTGGGATTTTCTTTCCTTTTCACCTTTGGTGGTAACCTATCCAAAACTAAAAAAAATGTCACCCTTAGTTATACTTTAAACCTTGGTTTGCCAGAGCTATAGACTTCTCCTTGCCAGACTCAGCGG